TTCCCGTGCTGGCGGGTTTTAGCGTCACCTTGGTTGGGCCCGCTTAAGGCGAGCTTCCCTTGGTAGGGCAGATGTTTCAGGGGGAAATATGGGACACCTTGGTTGACAATTCTGAATGTAGAGCTTCCTTAGGATCACATAGCTAACAGGCACTCACCACATGTTGACTTGGCCCCAAGGAACCTGGGCAAGTCAAGGGGGAAGTGAAACCACCATGGGGACTTGTGTCAAACACCAACAGTCAGCAGCGAAGAATCTGTAAATCATTCCGCCCAAATTCCAGCAGCTTCAATCCATCACTTCCATTTGCTGAAATGAATATGTTTTATTTTCCCTTGTTGGTTTTAAAGAGCATCTATCACTACTGGACATGTTTCTTTTTATCTTTTCCCGGGGGCGAAAACGCAAATGGAAGTTCAGGCAAGCCGTGGTTTGGATTGGTGGCTTGGGGAGTTGAACAGCTGGTTCTTGTAGAGGGTAGCTGGGAAACCATCCTTTCACCGCCAAATAACGGGCACGCTGACAATCTGACTCCGGAGCAATGGGCCCGCGTTTTCTAGGGACCAGGTGTGAGGGTCCCTAGTTCAGTTCCCCGAACCCCCCCCCGAAATGCCCTGACTCTCACCCCTTTTTGGTTGGGAGGGTTCCCCTAAGTAGACAAATCTAATCGCATTGCAAGGGGATTTGGGTTGCAGCCCGGGTGTGTCAAGCAGCGAAGCCGAGAAGCGCAGAAGGGGCGCGAAGCGAAGAAGCCGAGAAGCGCAGAAGCGCAGAAGGGGCGCGAAGCGTAGAAGCCGAGAAGCGCAGAAGCGCAGACGGGGCGCGAAGCGCAGAAGCCGAGAAACGCACCAGCGCCGACAGGGCGCGAAGCGCAGAAGAGGAGAAGCGCAGAAGGTGTTTGTGGGTGTTTGCTAGCTTGGGCGTGTGAGTTTGTGATATTGCCATTGGACGCATACTGGTTCGAGATATAAGCGTGCCATAGCTTCACTAGCAGACAAGAAGGAAAGCGTGCTCAAAAAAAGGAGCGGCTGTTTTTTGGAGCGAAGTGCACGAAAACGTAAGGGTCGTTGCGCGCCCGTTACCTTGTTGTTGTTGGTGGTGGTGTTGTTGGTGTTCGCGAAGCTTGGCAGAAAGGTGTACGTTTTTTTTCCAGGCTTCTGTGGGTTTGCTTGGTAACTGCATGTTGGCTCATCTTCACTACAAACTAAGTGTCCAACCCGGTTGAACCCATTTCGAAGACTGGCAGGACCGATAGCGAACTGCCGCACGACAAAATGACGCGTTGTTTCTTGGGAGGCTCTGAGCGTGTTTACGTGCTTGCACATATGGCCTAGCTTAATTCAGGCTAGGCAAAGTCTACATGCGAATCCTGCACAGCAAGTGGGCTCTTGCCGTGGCGCAGGGCAAGAAGTGGGTGGAGATGCAGAGGTACAAGTCGAGAAATCTGAGCATGATGCGCTGTGGCAGCGCAGGCACTTGGCTGTTGCTGGGAGACAGCAAGCGTGTCACAGGATTTGCCATTTGCGGAAGCAGTACAACACGCAACTGCACGCAAGCTTGCTCCATTTTTCATCATGTAGCAGATGACTTGAAGGATGACTTGCAAGCCGATCTTCAAGCAGGCTCAAACTTTGACTACATTCCTTTGTCGAGCGTGTGTGGCCTAACCAGACTTCCTGACGTGAAATGGGCGGATCTCGGAACCGAGAATCGCAGCATCCGGGCCCGTGGCTTTGTTGCAGTTGGAGGCAAGCGCTTGGCAGCCAAGCTCTTGGCCTTGGGAGGCACATGGTGCCCCCCTTATGATTTGCACGAGTAGCTTGGGCATGAAAAAAGGGCCCTGCCAATGGACAAAAAGCATCCAAGGACACCATCGTCAATAAAGTGCCCAAAATGCTTGCCAGATCGCTTACAGAAGCTTCGCAGCTAAAGGCTCTCGAAATGACTTCTGGACGCGGTGTCCTTGCAAAGAGTATATAAATCTCAAGATGTCACTCTATTGGACCAGTTGCCACGCGGCAATGCCCCGCCTTGCCGCCTCTCTTTTTACCCCATGCTGGTTTGTGCATGTAAGTCCTGTGTCTAGCATGCATATATCAGATTCTCTCCTGCAACCAGGAGCTAGGTTGTGGTCCTTTGCCCATTGGAAGCTGCTAGACTTTGCCCGATGCGAGAATAGTATCAAGTTTCTTCACCCCCTAACACCATGATGTAGCGCAGAAGCCGAGACCGCAGAAGCGCAGAAAGGGCGAGGTGCACAAGCGCAGCAAGGCACAGCGCAGCAACAGAAATGAAGCGCAATGAAGCGCAATCAAGCATAGATGCGCAATAAAGCGTAAAAGCTCGATAAAGTGTAGAAGCGCAGCAAAGCGTAGAATCCTAATAAAGCGTACAAGCGCAAATACGCGTGGACGCGCAGTAGAAGCGCAGTAAAGCGTAGAAGCGTATAGAAGCGCAATAAGGCGTAGAAGCGCAAATAAGCGTGGAAGCGCAATTTAGCGTAGAAGCGTGCAAGCGCAATAAAGCGTAGAAACGCATAAACGCAATTGTGTAAAAGCGCAATAAAGCGTAGAAGCGCAGAAGCGTAAAAGCGCAATAAAGCGCAGCAGCGCAATGAAGCGTGAGCTTGGAAGCGCAGAAAAGCGTAGAGGTGAAGAAGTATAAACAGCGCGGAGGCGCGGAAACACATCAAAACCTAGAAGCGCAGGCTTCTAAGCTTCTTTGCGTTGTAGATTTTGGCAGCTTCTGAGCTTATAAGCGTGACGCCGGTATTCGGCTTCTAAGCTTCTAGGCTTCTAGGAGTGACGCCAGTGTCCGGCTTCTGGGCTTCTAGGCTTCTAGGCTTCTAGGCTTCTAGGCTTCTAGGCTTCTAGGCGTGCGGCCGGAAGGCTTCTAGGCTTCTAGGCTTCTAGGCGTGTGGCCGGAATTAGGCTTCTAGGCTTCTAGGCTTCTAGGCGTGACGCGGGTGTTAGGCTTCTAGGCTTCTACGTTGCGCCGGTACTATAGGCTTCTAAGCTTCTAGGCTTCTAGGCTTCTAGGCATTGCGCAGGTATTAGGCTTCTAGGCTTCCAGGCTTCTAGGCGCTACGCAACCCAAACCCCCCTACTCTCGAAAATCGGGTACCAACTTATTCTATCCCTTTGTTGCCCAGTGGTGCCCTTTTTTCCTTTGTTTGGGCAAGGGTTCCGAATTGAACCAAAAAAAGATGCCCGTTTTTTCCTGGAATCCACTGGGCATCTGAGAACCCTTCTTGCTGGAGGACCAATTGGAAGGCCGCCGAAGCCGCGGTCCTCCCCATCCACAGCCCATCCGCCAGGCCGGGACACGCCGGGCCCCGGCGCCTACGAAGTGAAGGCGGAGAAGCGCCCGCCCCGAGATGGCGAGATGGCACACGCCGGGCTTTGTGACTCACTGGGTTGGATGAAACTTTTGTTGGGGGGAGAGTCCCCCTGTTAAAACAGAGTACGGAAAAAAGTGGGTGCCCGTATTCTAGGACCTGGGAACATAGAAATAGAACCTGCACAGGAACCGGCTCTAGAGAAAGTGGACCCTCTGGGTTGGACCTGTGCCTTTACCCTGAAACATAGCTCTGCAGGAACCGGCTCCAGGGAGAATGGTCTGGGAGCCGGTTGTGCAGGTTCTGTTTGTATCCTCCTTTTTTGTTGGGGGATGGGAGGGTATGGATTGTGAAGCAGGGTTTCCTCCATGTCCCATTGGAATCCAGCGAGCCCTGTAAACCCTAAACTCTTTGGGAAATGTGTTTCCCCACCAAGAAGCGCTCCATGTGTCTGCCATATCTTGGCTGGGTTGGCGAAGAGGACCAAGATGAGGCGAGCAATAGAATACACACTTAGTCCACATATACGTGTAAATACATATATCATGGTTGTTGTTGGGAAACATTTTACATGTTTGTTTATTGTGGTTTAGTGGTTGAAATCCAACCACTTAACTGCTAAAACTCTAAAATGTTTGCCCCCTTTCCAACGTCAACCAAGTCTACATGTAAATGCATATGTGATATTTTCAGGGTGGTCAACGTGAATCTGTTAATTTTGTAGCGAGCGATTCCATGGATTCGGTGGCTGTTTTTACAAGCTCCAACCCTATGGTTTCCAGTTGTAGCTTGGCCAATTGGAGCCAGGAATCAGTAAGCCCCGGATGCACTTTACCTTCGGTGCATTTTGCTTGGGTGTTAGGACTTTAACTTTTTGCCAACTCATGAGTTTGCCATTAATCCACTAAAAGTTATTATTTTAGCTGGGGAGCAGAAAGCAACCGAGTTACGTAGATCAATCCATGAGGTTGATTCATGCCAAGGCGAATCGACCCTTGGACCTTTGCAATTCCCATGTTTTCAAAGCGGCGGTGGATTTGAAATTTAGCGTCAGGCATGCCCGCATGATTTTCATTTTGCATATGCATATTCAATTCCGCGCTTGTTGCATGCCTGGGGTCGTGCACCAAGTAGCCTGCCTGACATGGACGCGCTATGATGCGCTCAAGGCAACCAGATCTTCACATTGGGAAGTATCCTTTGACGGCTCGCATCTATTTCCCTGCGTGGCGGTGGGGGGTTTGAAAGGGTTTCGTCACAAGAAAGTCTACAGGAAATGGCCCCAAAACGCGCTGAATACGTTGTTTTCCCGCGGAATTTCCTGTAACCCAACTCTTTGAGGGTTCCTTTGGTTTCCTCCCCATCCCCCCTTTTTCGATTTGTCGTCGCCCGCAGGCTGAGGCTCAGGGTGTGGCAAAGGCCCGCAGAAACAGGTGTCCCAGCACTCACCTTGGATCCTTGTTGGCTTTGAACGCCACCTCACTGCCCGGGACCATGCTTTTAGCCATTCCACTCAAGCGAGAGAATTCTTGGCCCAGTTTGGCATGAGTTGTAAAGGGAGGCATGGGTGGTAAAGCAGGGTTCTAGCGAGGCCTGGCAACAAACCATAGCCTCACATCGGCAATCTGACGCTGGCTTCTGAATCCAGGACAGGTTCCGGGAT